GAGATTAAAATTATCCACAGCAGATCAGTAACAGAGCGGATGGGTTGTCTGTCTGCACCAGGAGGAGCAGGTACCAGAAAGAAAGACGACAGTGTTTGGGTCCCAGGGATTTAGTGATAAGGATGGGACTGGAGCCCAGAACCTGCCTACCTGGCACAGAGGGATCCTGCCACTCGGAGGAACTCGCCTGTCTTCTCGTCATATGTTTCTTCTTTACTTTCCTGAGCCCGCCCACACTATTTACATCTGCCATTTGTATCACACACAGTTCATGTATGGCCTGCTGTGCCAATTGAATGTGGAAGACTAACATATTCAGTAGGCACACAACACAGACACAATCCATTGCCTAACCTTATTTTTTAACATACTGTACGACATCTGTGAATTGTCACAAAGCCCTAAGGTTTGTCCATTTTTTCAGGCTGTATTTGAAGTTCTTAGAAAATTAAAGTCACTCAGATACACTACTTTTCCTACAAAAGAATTATCTAGCCCACCAATTTCTCTGAATACATCACTTAATTTGCATTATTCCTTGGTTAAATATAGTATTTGCATGGTGTGTGTGTGTTTGACAGAGAGAGAGAGAGAGAGAACAAATTGACTCCAAGCTGAATTGGATTCTGACAATGTATGTGAGAGTCCATGAGAGAAAAGGGCTGATTAACTTGGCTGCCCAGTGCTTGTGCACCTGATCGGCCACACAGTGGACAGCAGACTCCACCCTGGGAAACTGCTCAGTACAATGGGCTGGTTCTTCCTTTGTCTAGGGCCTGTAGGCCACGTCTGTGGCTGGGTGTACAGTTTTTACTAATTGTCATGCTCTTCTTTCTCGGGGTTTCCCAGAGATGCCACACTGATGCCCCCTTGTGCTGCTCTCATGAGCCCTGACCGATGGTTACAGGCAGCTCTTCTGGGCTTATGTGGATATCCAACAGGATAAGGGTATGGTTGGCACCAGTCCATCAGACAAGATCATTGGTAGATTTCTCTTGACCCCAAGGGCTGAGATCTAAGAAGAGACCTTGGGAGACTGTGTCATTTTGGTCATTCGGGGATAGTCGGTCTAGTTCTGTACTCTGGCATTGGCAGGACTGTATCACACAGGGTCTGTGGGAGTCCTGAGGTTGAGACGGCCTCTGTGTTTCTCTATTGCAACCCCAGCCTGGGGCATGTTGCTGTTAGCTGTCGGCTCTGGCCCCAGAAACCCCGTGCACAAGAGAACAAAACACTGCCCGGTCCCGCGCCATCCACACAATGGTTCCTGTCGCGGAGCCCATTGTGGCCACTGTGTCAACCCACCTCGTTTTCACTGCCCCTCCCCTTTACCAAACATGATGTCCTTCTCCAGGGACGGGTCTCTCCTGACAACATGTCCAAAGTATGTAAGACAAAGTCTCATCATCCTGGCCTCT